TACCTAATCTATTTCTGATGTCTGTGTGAACAAGTCCAAAANGAATTATTGATATAGCATACTTTTTTAAATCAATTCAACGTATTAAACATAAGGGTTTCGATTGTTCATTCTCAGAAAATATGATGCTAGTCAATGAAAAAAGAAATGGATTTTTTAGTGATTTTGTATTCAAATGTTTAGTATGTGGAACTGTTGAAAATATATATTCTGAAGATCCTGATAGGATAGGACTTGATGTTAATATGGCAATTACTTCAGCCACTATTAATACTGGCCAGGGATATTCACAGTTGGAAGAATTTACAGCAGTACTAGATATGCCTTGTTATGCTAATAATTCGTATCAAAAATATCACGAAAAAGTTTATAGCCATTTATTTGATGCGTCATTAGGTGAAATTAGACTAGCTGGGATTGAGGAGGCAAAACTTGCTATACAAAATGGAGAAGTAGACGACCAAGGCCGTGCATTAATTACTGTTGTTGCCGATGGCGCCTGGTCAAAAAGATCGTATAGAACAAATTACAATGCTTCATCGGGTGTTGCGTCAATAATCGGGTACAGAACAAAAAAATGTATATTTATGAGTGTTCGCAATAAGTACTGTATCATATGTGAAAGAGCCTTAAAAAACAAACAAATAGTTCGTGAACACAAATGTTATAAAAATTGGGATTCTACTTCTACTTCTATGGAGGCAGATATCATAGTTGAAGGGTTCAAAGAAAGTTTATCAATGCATAATATTATATATCATAAATTAATTGGCGATGGTGATAGCAGTGTTAGTAAACAATTACAACTTGCTAAACCTTACGGTCCGGATATAATGATTCAAAAAATAGAATGTAGAAACCATGTTTTACGTAATTATATAAATCGAATGCGTGATATTGCGGGGAAAAGGAAATGTAGCAGTGGAAAAATTGTGCCTGGAGACCAAAGGAATATTTTGCGAAACAATTTACAAAAACTACGTTGTGCAGTTACTAAGGCAATAGAATATAGAAAAGGAAACGATGGAACACATAATGAAAGAGTTAATTTACTAAAATGTGATATTATGAATGGACCGTATCATGTTTTTGGAAATCACGTAAACTGTGCTACATATTTTTGTAAAAATAAAAATGAAAAAACTAATAAAAACTATGTTCCAGATATGGAACAATCTGGACTTTGGGCTGATATTTTGTCGGCAAGAAATTTATTAGCTCATCATTCCTCGAGCTTGATTTATAGTGTAAATAATAATTCGGTCGAGGGCTATAATAGTGTTGTTGCTAAATATGTAGGTGGTAAGAGAATACATTTTTCTCATAAAGGTTCGTATCAAGCGCAATGTTCAGCTGCAGTGTTGTCGTACAATGCAGGTCCAAAATCAATAAGTATTTTACATAAAACAATTTGCAATGTAAGCCCAGGTGATTTTACCAAACGTTTTATAAGTAGAAAACAGAGGTTGAAAGTATGTAAATTGAAAAGGAAACTTATGTTTAAACCAAGTAGTAGACGAGTTACTAAAGTTAACATAGCTGCAGATAAAGACTATGGCAATTGTGAAGAAAATATTTGTGAAGAATTGGATATGGATGAAGATGATTACGAAAAACATAAATTGGAATTTATGACAAATAAAATTATAAAAAATAGTGATGAAATTAAATTCATTGAAAAATCGACTACACTTCAATCGGAATGTGAATTATGGCATAAAGAACGACGAATTCGTTTAACCGCGTCACACTTTGGAACCATTTGTAAACTTCGACCGTCGACTTCTAGAGCTAATACAATAAAATCTATCTTGTATAATACATTTTGTGGTAATGAGCATACGAAATATGGTATTGAGTGTGAACCCTTTGCGAAGACAGAGTTTGAAAAATTATCAGGATTCAAAATTCAAGATTCTGGCCTTTTCATTCATGAACAACTGCCGTATTTAGCAGCTAGTCCTGATGGACTAATAGAGAATAACGGTATAGTTGAAATAAAATGTCCCTCTTCAATCAAACATTTAACTCCAAAAGAAGCAATAGAAACTGGAAAATTAAAGTTTGCAACTCTAGACGGTGAATGTAATTTACAATTAAAAACAAGTGACAAGTATTATTTTCAAGTTATGGGTCAATTACAAATAACTCAAAGATTGTTTTGTTATTTTATAATATGGTCACCTAAAGGTAATTTATTATGTTTAAATTATGCAATTTAATATTAGTAATAATAAATTAATGTACAATTTTTTTCTATTTTTTTTTTTATTTTAACAGGTATAATATACCAAAAAATTTTAAGAGATGATAATTTTTTTGAAACCAAAATGAAATTATCATTAGAAAAATTTTATTTTGAAGCGATGTTACCCGAGTTAATAGACTCAAGAATTGATCGAAACCGATGTCTACGTGACTAACCAGATTACTTTTGTGTAACTATATAAGTATAAGAATTTATAAATAAAATATATAAATATTTTGAATTGGTAATTACTAATAACACTTAGATTTCATTACTTTTTTTTCAACATCTCTAACCTATAAATTATAATATTATGTATATTTATGTGAATGTAATAACGTTAATTATATTATTAAAATTATACATATTATGCAATATGTTATAATTCAGCGGCTCCCAACCTTTTTAGTTGTGTGGACCACCAATTTTGTAAAAAAATCTCTGAGGCCCACTATAATAGCATAACTATATAATATATACTTATAAATATATATTATAATATGAGATAACACTACATTCAAACCTCAAACGTTCGATATACCGTACACTTAATCTACACTCTAGTTAATATTGATCAAATATTGTTATAACCAGAAATATTATAAGTTTGAAACAAAAATATATAATAATATTAAGTTGTTCACGGCCCAGTACCGTGCTGCCCGCGGCCCATGGGTTGAGAACCGGTGTGTTATATTATATACCTACATATTAGCTTCTTTTCATATACATGTATTCTGATATTCGTGTTTGAATGGAATATTTAAATAAATTAAATGTAAAAAATCAACAAAAAATACAGTAAACAGTGAATGCTACTAGTTATGTCCTGAACAATTGTAAATTATGGATTGATTGAGTAATTAATAATATTATATAAAATGTATAGCTATACTCTATACTTATACCTGTATAGTTATATTACGTATAAATGTATAATAATATTTATGACCCGCATAATTTGTTCATTGTTTACGATGTTTGGTGGCGACGAAGGATGGTTTCTAGGAAATATTGTCCGAAAACGATTACTGATTAGACTCACACACACTTATGTTCGTTTACATTGCACACACTTACAAGTCACTTAAATGTCATCATGTTATATTGCCTATATTAATTTCCTTAAAACACGACCGACTGCAGCCCCCTTAAGTAAAAACAAAAATGTTTTTGACATTTTTGGTTTTAATCGTGGTTTATACATTTATACGAGTAGGCAGTGGTGTAATTGTGGGGAGGGGTAAAAGGTATCATTTTTCCGAAAGTTAACTTAACCTTACCCCCCCCCCCCTCAGTTCAGTGTTTTGATCTTGGTAAATAAATTATTTTGCCCCCCCCCCCCTAGATTTTTTCCCAGTTACGTCTCTGCGAGTAGGTACAAGGATTAAAATAAAAATTAACACTTTAATAGGTACTATCATTTCTGTTAAGTTTCCAGATAAAAACAAAATACTCATTATGTGATCCACGACATACTTACTGTTCGCACTAATATTGAAAATGTAGATTGAACTTCTTAAACCGAGTTAAGTTCACATTTTTTCCATAATATTAATTTAAAACTTAACGAGTAAACCGTATTACTTGTTAGTCACTAACTTCTGATTTAATGAACTGGCGTTCACTAAACATAACTCGAGTCAATAATTTTCATTAACTTTGCACACGTCTGAGACTTTGCCCTTGGCTCTCACGGTAGATACTCACATGACTAAATAAACGTTTACGGATAGGTACTCGTAAATAATTACTAGGGTGCGGATTTGTATGTATTTACATATTTGTCGTGAATGATATTTGAATGATTCCTTTAGATACAGAAATATGTTACTGGACTATCTGATCATTTTAAGCTATGGTCTAAATTACATATTTTTACATATTTTACTGATATTACATATTTTTGTTAAATATTGAGTTATTTACAGAATTAGTAATGTATCGCCGTTTTATATTATGAGTTGTTATCTTCTCCAGTCCGTGCGTGTGCAAATTATAATCGCAAGTTGCGACTATTAGTCCATAGTCTACACATTAAAACACAATTCAGATTATGCTTCAAAGCCATATTTATTAAACACCGAAGTTCTTGAAAAATGTAACCACTCAACAGTTGCTCGTTTTGTCAACGGTTCAAAAACGATTGAAATTTTTAATTTTTAATTTTTAATTTGAATGTGTTCCTAATTAATATTGATAAAATAATAATATAATGTGGTGTTGTATAATTTATATTTACGCACTTTTTTAATATAGGTACCTACTCATTTTAAAATTTTTTTGTCAAGAATAAAAACATTTTTTTTTTTACATATCTTGTATTTTTAATTACATATTTGGATAAAATTAATTACATATATATGTACATATTTTTGAAATTTTAATACATACAAATCCGCATCCTAATAATTACCTACTTCATCACCGACGCTATTTTATTATTTCTATTCTGTAGACGGTATGTCGACCGCCATCTACCGGCGGACGTGTCACCTAGTAAGACATTTTTGTTCGTCACCAGGTCATTTCTTCCGTATTATCACAGAATAAATTAATCGACTTATCGTCTCTAGGCCGCCGCCGCATTCTGTTGTTGTTGCCCTTATCGTCTTGTGCAATACGACGTGAGGAATCTCGTTTTTTACGTTCTCGACGGAGAACTGTGAGAAATAAAACGATTGCCAGCCTTAGATGTTTAATTGTTGATGCAGATGATCGACTCGAAATCCATCAACGGTACGTACACGTCGTCATAACGTCATATGTATTAAACTATTAGCGTTAAAAGTGTAGCAGAAACTATAATAATATTGAGTCGTAAGAACAATATCGTTATCAGTCCTAATCTAATAATTATTTTGTGACCAAACCGAAGTTGGCAAGTAAGAAGTAACTGGCTCTTGTTTGAGTGTTTTGCTCTTGTCTCGATCGTTGTTACTTGTCATTGTCTAAACGACATCCTTGGTGCTCAGTATACAGTGAAACATTTTAGTGATATAATCCGAAGGTAAGCCTAGGTTAATCACTGACTATTCCGAATCAAACAAATTTCATAGTACTTTTCCGTATGCATTAGAAATTTGACATATATATTTTGAATTTTGACATGGATTAAAATATAGGTATCCAGTAGTTGTGTGTTTCTGTATCCCTCTAAAAATAAAATCATTGTAAGTACTACTAAATAATACTTACCTTGAATCTAGTTTCATCTTTCATTGTTGTGGATATTGTCAGTTTATGTTTAAATTAAATATTAGTTGTATATGATATAAAAAAATCCGGCACTTTTATGCCGGATTGAATAAAAAATTGATTAATTTAATGACTTCAATAAGAATGAATAGTCCAATCGTGGGCCGCTAAATAATGTTAAAGGGATCATTAGGTTCCTATTGATTCATTAAATATTAACTGATAGTTCATGCAACCAGGCATTAGTATTGCAAAATAATATGTTAGTTAACAAGAATCATCGGTACCAACTGTTGGTTTCAATTTCATTTTGAAAATGCTACTTGTTTATTTGTTTAACCTTTTGTTAGTTGCTCAGAGTTATATAATACAAATATTCACTAATGATAGCCTATCTCTTGTTTATTGCTCTTAGATATGTGTTCTTAACGTTATTTATATGATAGGTCTACTCAACTACACATAGTAAAACTTGAAACAAAAACTTAGCTATCCTCCACACACAGGCTTGACTACCTATTTAAATTGTTTTTAAAAACAGTATTTTGACAGTACTTTAGCACACTATTTTGTTTTAATTTATTGGCTCTGTGTAGACCTGAATTTTTATATGATAGTATACTCATGCCAAAGTATACTGGGAATATATGCAATATGTACCCTACAAGACTAACCCGGTTCCTTGTTTTAAGGTCATAGACATGATGTTTATGGAGAAATTAATTAATATAGGTAAATACTTACATTTTTTTTTTTTTAATTGATCTTAAGCCCGGCAACTGTGGCCATTAGATGTTTGTAGGGGGGGGGGGTGAATTTTATGGATAGGTCATTATAGGCATATTTTTTAGTTATTCTATTAAGTTTCCAAATGTATTTATTTTATCCAACAATAGCCGTATAGTTTTTATAAAATTACATTTTTTTGGATTTTCATTAAAATTTTGATTTTGTTTTCCATTGCCTAATAGGCCTGGTTGCGTAGTTATATATTATGAATTTATGTTAATCATTTGTTTGTGACATTGACAGTTAAATGGTTGTGATGTTTCGAGGAATACGTTTAATTTAATAAAAAAAGAAAAACCAACTAAAAATTTAGTAATTTGGAACCATGAATTGTATCAGGGTACATTCGGGAGTGGAGTGAGGCCTAATTTTGGCTTTAGAAATTATATTTTGCCGGCTCACTAGCTCATTGAATGATTGTTTCAGGGATAACCTATAAACATAAACTTTAAAAACAATTATACTTTAACCAATCAAATAGCTTATAAAATTAACAAATACATTTTTTTTTGTTTTAATATTTGTATATGAAAAATTTTTAAAAATAAGCATACAAAAATCATAAATTGTACTTAAATAACTATTTAATTTAATGTTAAATGACCTATGACTTATAAGGGTAATTTAGAAAATAATTTAGATTTTTCCCCACCTTTATTCATAATGATATCATTATTATTCAATTTGTTTTTCAATCGCCACCGACATGAATGGCTAAGTGTTCAGTTGTCATTGAACTAGTTAAATGCACATGTTCATTAATGAGTACAATATTTTAAATACTGTTCTCAGACTTACAGTATATTAATGATAATATGTTTGTTTTATATTTTATAATTATCGGAACATTATATTTTGTATTCTGCATTTTTCAAAGAGTGTGTACTATGCATTTTACTTTTAATTAAATGCATTTTTAATTGTATATGAATTTAGAGTAACCTATGCAATATTATTTTATACAATAGAGACTGTTCAGAGTGGTAAACCTGGCATCCAGTTTTACTGTCTCACTGTGTTATGTCTCACCATACCATTTAATACTTATGATATACAAAAGGCTCGTCTATTAGTATAAAGTCTATGATGTAACCTAATGTGCATTTTCTGTTTTATTGTTAATGTTATTCAATTGTTTTATCTTAATATCTATATATTTTTTTCTGTTTCAGATTTTTCAATGAATGCGAATATTAACAACAAAGATGTTTGTTTCAAATATATTTTAAATATATCCAATGCTTCATTTAAATTTGAAACATTTTAAACACTGGGTTTATAAAATCGAGTTCTTATTTAATAGATTTAAACATCCTAAACAAATATTAATGAATAAGTTAATTGACATAAAAAAATATGAACAACAAGCTGTCTCTTTGGCTGTTAAATTAATTAATGAAGGTAGTGTTGTTGCACTTCCAACTGACACTGTATATGGTCTAGCAACTGATGCACAAAATCCAAGTGCTATAGGCAAACTATACAATATCAAAGGGCGCAATCTTCAAAAACCAATTGCTATATGTACTCATCATGTAAATGATATTGGAAATTGGGGCGAAATTGGTCACTTGCCTTTTGGTCTTTTAGATTCACTATTGCCTGGGCCTGTAACAGTCATACTACAAAGAACACCATCTCTAAATTTTGCATTAAATCCTGAGGAATCAAATATTGCTATAAGAGTGCCAAACAGTGGCTTTGTTTGTAATATTGTGAGTGATTTGAAGAAACCAATTGCTCTAACTAGTGCTAACGAGAGCAACAAACCCAGTACATTAAAACCAATAGAATTTTTAATTTTGTGGCCTAAATTAGATGCTATTTTTGATGGTGGTGCAATTGGCTCTTCATTAGAATCACGTCAAGGTTCCACAATAATTGACTTAACTATTGATAATCGCTTTAGAGTAATAAGAACAGGATCTGCTCTTTTAAATACAATACAAAAACTACACCAATTTGGTTTAAAGGAATTATAATGAATAAATTATTAAGAAAAATTATTAGTAACAAAGAACTTAAGGATGAGTCTAATAAGGCATCTATTATACATTATTTTGAAGAAAGGTTAAATGAATTTCATTCAGAATTCTCAGATACTGAAGTAAAAGTTACGAGTTCCAACTATGTTGCGGACAGATTATTGGCTATCTTAGAAGTGTTATTCTTGCATGGCCTTAAAGAAACATTTATCAGTCAGCTATCAACAGTGATTGGTAATGATGTGGACAAAACAATGGACATCAATTTTTGGCACTGTCTTCTTGTACTTTCTCCTAGTGGTGTCGTCGATCAAGTAAGTTTATACATTTGTTATAACCAACTACCAAGTACTCAATAATATAACTGTAATTCTATGATTTTTAGATTAACTCGCTAAAACATGTTACAACAGATGTGGGAAAATGTAGAGCTTGGATTCGCTGTACCCTCAACGACTGCGTCTTTCGCAGTTATTTAATGTCTGCTGTTAAATATCGTCGGTATATTATTAAGTTTTATAACAAGACAGCAATTATACGGGATCAAAAATGTTTTGAAAAGATAATTGCTTTATTAGAAAGCATTGATCAATATCATTTTGAACTCACTTTGAACTCGAGTCTTCTCAATACATGGCCCAATAGCACATTAATGTTGGCCGGTTACTGGACCCCAGCTCTTAAAAACAATCCATTACAAAACAACAACCCTCAAATAGCTGAAGCGGTAGATGTCAACGATACTGATGAAGCAATACTGATAAATGATCATAATAGATCAGAAGAAAGCTATACTTCATCTTTATCTTCGTCATTTGTTGATTCCGAGTTTTCACGTAAACCTCCCATTATAATGGACGAAGAAACTGTGTGGCAATTGATAATGAAGCAACCTTCTACTTCTTATGCAACGCCTAGTATTACCAAAAATGTACATTCTGTTGATGTATTGAAAGAAAACTTTTCTAGTAGTGAAATTTCACCAACAAAACCTAATGAAATAGTAACTAAAGAAGAGGAAAGTTTACCAGAGATATCAAATACTGAACAGAAAGCCGAAAGCTTACCAAATAAAGAAGACAAATATGATGTCCAAAGTTTCAATGAATTATTAGAATCATATAATTTAAGAGTGAAAAGTTTGTCTGACAGCCCTAAAATGGAAGATCTGTATAAACAATTGACTGTTCCACAAATAATCGAAGAACAGCATTTCACTGAGCCTGAAACTTTAGATGATGTAAATATAACAAAATTGTAAATAACTACATTATAAATATTATTGAAATAATTATTTAATACTTATCTAATAATTTAAATATTATTTTTTATAGGATGACAATTCTTTTGTTGAGATATCAATGCATCCCGAACGTTTGAGTTTAGATGTAATTATCATTACTTTTTATTTGTATTTTTCATAACTATGGTTGTTTTTATAATTTGGTTTTATTTGATAGCTTTTAAAACAATATTTGGAATATTTGTTTACACCTCCAAAAGAACTTGGCTTAAATTCTCAAGATTTTATGTGTAAAAGTTGCAACGAAACAATAGGCATTGATTTTGGAGAATATTTGTAAGTAAAATAAATGCATAATGTTCCACTTGCATAGATTATATAAAAGCAAATTTTGATAGCACTTGCTTTAATTATTGAATTTTAGTAAATGCAATTTCACGGCATGTTATTACTGTGTACACTGCTTTGGATCAGAAACATGGGCAATACCTGTAAAAACATTATTCAATTGGGATTTCAACCGGTATCCAGTTTCCAATAGTAGTTCAACGTTTCTAAGTGAAATACAATATCACCCATTGTTTAACATGAGGAGTATCAATCATAAGCTGTACAAAGCCAACAAGGAAATGAACAAGTCAAAAGTAATAATAAAATGAATAGTGATAACTGGAGAGCGGTTTTTAGGCTTTTCCATAGTATACAGGATCTGGCATAAAGACCTCCCATACTTAGGGCTTAAGCTGTGTGAGTTGTGGTTGTGATACATCTATATGCATAGTGTCTTCTGATAGCTGTACACCCGCCATTTTTAGTAGACACAATGATGTGGAACGGTGAACTGAAGTGCTCCCATCCTGCAATCTCCGAAGTATTAAGCACTTAAACACACCCTGGAATTGACTGACGTTCATCGTTCCATGCCATTGTTTCTACTAAATATAGCACTTATACCGTCTATCAATAGATCCCCCCTCACCATTGTAGTATTACCACAACTCACAGTTCCATCTCTAAATACAGGAGGTCTTTTCATTAGACTCTGTATTAATTTACATTATGAAGCTCAACAGAGTTGTAAAATGTGGACGACTTTTCCAGTACATAATTTGTAGAAAAAATATGTATTTTTCATATCAGATGATATTTTCGAGATAAGAGAATTTCCTGCCTATATTTTATATTTAAGAAAATATTTCATCACAGAAAAAAAATGTTTTTAATTTAAAAATAAATAATGATAGAAATTATTCACTAACTTATTTGCAATTAAATTAGAAATTGTTTAATTAAATTTCAAGTTTATGCATATAATTATATAACTTGCAATTTTATTAATGGATAGTAAATGTAAATATGTATTATAAATTGATTAAGTTTAATGTAAACATGTACTATATGTATGCATAATATGTTTCTTTTGTAAGGGCTTATTTTGAATCATATTTTAAACTTTTAAGAACCTAAAAATCTGCTGTTTAGTGGTAACTAAGAAAATTAAAATCGTACATGAATATTAATTTATTATAATATGTTATACTATAGAAGTTACGGTGGCAAATTTACTACCTGTACCATTATTTGTCTACTTGCAAGTTATACAACATCGAAGAATTATCCAAAGAAATATGGCCCCGTGTGTATTTTTTTAATAATATTCACCTGTACTCATTTGCCGTAAGTTCTTTAAAATCAATTTGACAGAAAGCTCATTATTTTAATTTATTTAATACTTTTCAGGACCTTCTGGAGATCTATTCTGGTACTTTATTTGAGTTCCTCGAGCGTAAGATTGAAACTAGCCGAAACCATGTTCTCAATTGTTTAGTGTGCAGTCAAAAGGGTTTTATATGTGAACTTTGCCGCAACCCCAAAATTATCTATCCGTTTGACTTAGGAGATAATTATAGGGTAAAAATAATGTTAAGTGGATGCCACAACTGGGTGTTTTATCTCTACCTTACAATTGCATGACATACAGCTTCAAATTTAGGGGGTGGGGTAAGTGATTTTGTTGCCCTTGGCGGAAAATTTTTAAGTCCATTTGGGGGGGAAAAATTTAAATTATTTATTGTGTATTGATTCGAAAAGGAACAAATGGACGTAACCTTTTGGACGTGGGGACAATTGAACGTCAAAAAAATATAATCAAAATTTTTAAACACATAAATAAAATTAATAAGTTATTTATATTTATTATAATATTTATGGGTCAAACAAAAACAAATATACAAATTATTTATTATATAAAATATTAAAATTAAAATGTATCCAAAACAATTTTTTATTACAATTATAGGTACACCAGCAATTAAAATACGATATCAAAAAAAGTTATTTATAATAATTATCATTATACGTCCAAAATATAATATTTAAAATATCTAAAAAGTTTATTTTTATATTATGAATTAAATAATTAAAATTCAATAATAATATCGATAAGGTTGATATTATACCATACCATTAGTTATATTATGAACATATATAATATCAATGGTTTTATAATTTATAAGCAAAAACCAGAACTATTTATTTTCAATTTTTTTTAATATATTTTGATAATCTATTATAATAAAATTATTTATTTAATTTATATATTTTTTTTGATGTCCAAACGGCTACGTTCATTTATCCTAGATCGGTATTGATTGCATCAGAATATGTATATATATTAATTATTACTACTAAAACTTTCTGTAAATATTGACTATTGAATCAGAAATAACAATAAGAAGTAAAACAGATTTTAAAGAAAAGGTAATTTTACTTTCACATCTCTAATCTAGGAAGAAGTTATAAATCTTATAGATTATTATTAATGATTGTTAATAAATTAATATCAGAAAATGCACAATAATAAATAATACATTTTTTCAATTTATATTTTATTTTTTATAATTTTAACATTAAATGTCAAGTATATAACCATAACTAATCTATTCTTTCAATTTATGTACATTGTACAATAACAATTGTTTACAAAAAGAAAAAACATGAAATCTTAGTATTGAATTTTGTTTTTCTTATGCTATACTTATACTTATTCTATTTTGTATGTAAACTATAGTTAGTTCATTTGACATTGATTTTACCAGAGTTTTGTGAAATAACTGATAAATTATTAATATTTGCAGGCAAGTTATAAAATATTTAATTACATTTTTATGATCATAATTAATAATACATTTGAAAAAAACTCATCAACATTTGTTAAAATAGTAAGGTAGCATAAATAGTTGGTTCAATTGTCTGTTGACTTACATTGTGTACAATAAAATAGTCAAGCTTACATTTTGAGAAATAGCTACTTCTTTTGTGAAGGGAGGGGAGGAACCTGCAAAAATATGTTGGCTGGGACCCAAAATGTTCAAATATAGCCCAGGCGACATACCAACTTTGTATTCAGCAGTTCCAATTTGATGTAATAATCTTTAACAATCTAATGAATTAACCCAAGGCCAGTATAAGTATTTTTTATGTAAAAGCAAATTACAGTATTGTAAAAAACACAGAAAATTACTTTACATATAATAGTAGGTTAGTTCACTTTTATTAGGTTACTTACACAAAATCAGAACTGCTGGAGTTGGACTCAAATTGTCTATGTTATACATTTGCAAGATGGAGATAACACATCTCCTTGTGTGGCATACCGGCATCCTCTTAATTGTTTTATTATATTACACATATACTTAAATATATTTACAATTTTCGTAATTATTTTGTTGTGTGGGGTTCTTAGAAATGTTCAATGGGTTTTAATAAATACATGTGTATGTATCATGCTTTTTTAAGTCATTTTCATCTTCTAGGTAAAATGAGCTGGGAAGGTTTAACACTGTTAAATCCCCTCACATGTACGCCACTAATTTTGTTACTTATCTACTTCTTAAATAATCATATAATGTTTCAATATTTTTATATTGATACTCATAAAGTATAAAAAATTATTTTTTAGTGTCGCCATTGCAAATCATTATTCCATCGCAGTTGTTATAAAGAGAAAAATGTGTGTCCTAAGTGTGAACGAGACAAAATTAGAAAGATGAAAAAAACTTCTAACAGTGAAGATGAAGACAGAGACTATTAAATGCTGGTTAAATATGATTTAGTAAAAATTAAAATCATAGTTAAATATTTTTATTTGTAATCTTACTTAATATTATATTATTCTTATTCTTTTCATAACTAAAAATCATTTTATTTTTTTAACCTGTATAAGAAATATTTTCAATTTTACATTATTGTTTTAAATTTATGTTATATTATGTTTATTATTGTAATACTTACATGTTACATTTGAAATGGAAAATAGTGTTTAAAACTTTATGATGCATGATAGAATTATAAGTATTGTTTCTCCTAAATATTTGTAAGATTAATCAGAGCTCACTCTTATTAATTGCAATTTTTTTTTAACTATTGATTATATTTGAAGTATTTTTACAACATTGTTGATGGTCTGTGAAATTTGATGAATTAATTCTAATAAATTCAAAAAAGATAAATGAAACTATAATATTATGTTTATTAACTGGATATGTATTGTATATTATGGCTTAAAAAAATGTATTCAGAATTTATACACTTCTGAGGTAACAGTTTTCATTTAACAAGATATAAGTTACAATAGTTTGAAATCTTATGATACAAAACTATTTTGATCTTCTACAAAAGCTTCGTTTAAGGCATCATCTGATAACATTGGATCAAAAAAGCTTATATCGTTGTAGTCTTCCACATACTGAAAATTATAAAATAAATTACATAGTAACTATGAATAGAACAAGAACTAAATTACTAAAACCATTCAGAATGAAAGGAATGAAATCCAACTTGCATAGATTTAGATTTTTAATTCCATAATATTATGTTACGCCATAACTAAAATGTTATTGAATATGAATCATAGCAGTTTTATATATTTTTGCAATTGAAAAAAAATTATTAGTTGTACTATACTAAATTGTTGGTTTATAAAAACTTAAATCTATATTAAAATGTTGTAACTACCTATGCATAAATTATTTACGTGTGCAGAAGGTAATGGGAAACCATTACACAGTATGACTTCCTTAGTAGACCACAGTCTAAACAATAGTACATTGACTGTTGTCAAAATATAAACCTAATGAGTTCCATATACAAAATGGATACCTATGTATTTCAATATTTGTAATTAAAATAACTTTGTAATCAAATATCAACCAAAAACATTTAATTGGCACTAAGACTTTTTTTATTTAATGTCATTGGCACTATTGAAATTTTAAATACATATCCTATACAGTAAGATGTACATAATATGTTATTATTTGTATTATAGGCACAAGATTTATTTTTAGATTTCAGTAGTTCATAATTATATTGAATGTTTGAGTTTGTAACAATATTTACAAATTAGGATTATACAAGTGATATAACCTTACACCTATTATGAAAATTATGTTATTAGGTTGAGCTTACCCGAATATCGTCAATTGAACTATCGTTGTTGAATATTGGACTCGGAAATGATTCTGTACATTCAGAAGAAGAAGTAATATTAATCCCTTTGCTGTCTGGAACCTCATAATCAAGATTACATTTGATATTCTAAAAAATGTGAGTTTTATTTTTATTAACACTTAATTTAAAATTGGAAGGACTTATACATTTTAAACAATAACAACACATACAACATTATCAATTAAAATGTTTTTAAATAATTTTTATACATCTACTGTTATATAATAATCATTACCATTTGTTCCATATACATACTTATAACAATTTTTAATTTAGAGTATACTTACAGGACTATGGATACCAGAAATGCTTATATCATTATTTATGAAGGAGTGCTATAATAAAAAAAACAAAATAATAAAGGTGTACTAGATGTATTAATATTTATAAATATGGTCTATACTTCCGGGGTCTCCATATTTAATTCATAAAGTTGCTCATCTTGATATATCGGAGAGATCTACAACAGTAAAAAAAGAAATATGTACTTATTGAATTCATCGATGTTAATATTTATATAGGTATACTCTAGTTGTCTCCAAATCATTTCCAAGCATCACTTCATCATTGTTTAAGGAATGCTAGAATACCAAAAAAATATATAAAAAACTGATGAATTGATATTTATATATAATATTACATACTTCTGTATTATCTAAACTATGCTTATCCTCCAATTCTTCACAATGTATTGAAGAGAGCTACAATAGTTATAAAAAAATGTAATTACTATAATTATTTATTTTATTGTAATATTTAAATTTATAAATTTATACTTCCGTGATCTCCAAATTGTTTTCAACTTTCAGTTCACTCTATATTAATTTTAAAAAAAATACAATTTTGGTACTCGGTTAATTGATATTTATATATAATATTACTACTACATACTTCTGTGTCATCCAAACTGTTTTCGTCATTGTCTACAGAAAAGAGCTACAACAGTTATAAAAAACTTAATACATACTTATTTATTTTATTGTGATATTTAAATTTATAATAGTATACTTCTAAGATCTCCGAATAAATTTTTTCCTTCAATTCATGCTATAATAACCAAAAATAAATACAATTTATGTACTCAGTTAGTTGACATTTATAATTTATATATGAAATTACTATTACATACTTCTGTATCATCCAACCCGTATTCATTATGGTGTATAGAAGAAAGCTATAATAGTTTTAAAAATATTGAATTAATACACTTATTTGTTTAATTGCAATATTTAAATTCATATATGTATACTTTTGTCATCTCCAAATTGTTTCCAGTCTCCAGTTCATGCTATAATAATCAGAAATAATACATTTTACAAACTCAGTTAATTGATATTTATATATGAAATTACTATTACATACTTCTGTATCATCTAAACTGCATTCATTGTGGTGTATAGAAGAAAGCTATAATAGTTTTAAAAAAATAGAATTAATACACTTATTTGTTTAATTGCAATATTAAAATTTATATATGCATACTTTTGTGATCTCCAAATTGTTTTCAGTCTCCAGTTCATGCTATAATAATCAAAAATTAATACAATTTACGTACTCAGTTAATTCATATTTATACATAATATTACTATTACATACTTCTGTATCATCCAAACTGTATTCATTATGGTATATGGAAGAAAGCTGCAATAGTTAAGTATGAAAAATATTAATTTATATAATTATTTATTTTATTGCAATATTTAAATTTATATAAATATACTTCCGTGATCTCCAAATTGTATTCCAGTTTGTCATTATTTACTGAGTGCTATAAAAAAAAAATGTATATATTAAAATATGTAGTAATTAGATAAGGATGTATACTTCTTTATTATCAACATTGTCCAAATCCTTCATTTTTTCAAAATTTAAGGAGCCCTAAAAAAAACCAAAGTGGGAATAATATTACTGTTTTATAAATTGTTTATTGAATTTGTTAAGTATTTCAGTGTGTTTCGGAGTATCAAATGCATTCAATAGTTTATTTCATACTTTTAAAATACTCTGAAGCATTAAAGAAATTAAACATTGTACATTTTAAACATATTCTTACTGTCTTTCTTATGAATAAAAGCATAAGACGTAATATTTTTATTGTACCTGTTCATAATCTTCAATCGTTTCTGTAATTGAATATTTTTCAGAGTTAACCTTTTGTATGCATTTTGTTCTTTTATATTTTCTGTCTGTGAAGTATGTTCTAGAATTCATTCCTGTCTATAAAAATATACTTGTTTAACTCGCATCTTGTTTAAATATAAATTATCAACTAAAAATAACACTTGATTATAATGAAGACATTATAATACATAATAGGTACATGGAAACTTGCACACACTTTGTTTTTTTTGTCCCTAATGCATAGATCAAGCGGTTGACATATTTCTGTATGAGTTTCTGAAGACTGGCTATTTGCAACGTCTGACTCCGCGTGGCTGATTTCTTTATTACAAGACTCCCACGAAATTATCGATGAATGTGAATCACATTTTAGTTTACAGGTGTCTGACACATCTTGAGATGTAGTGTAGTTGTTACTTTCCTGCATTTCATCTTCAGTCGAGCTGTAGCCACTACAAGCCGTAATGTTATTTATATCCATCATTTTCTATGAACAAATCAAATAATATAATATTATATATTTATCATGAGTTTAAAATTAATATCCATACTTCAATGCTGAATAATGTATAACAAAACTTAAACAGTTTGAAATGAGTAAATAAAGAATTAAATAAAAATATGCCCAATAACTGTTAAAGATTTTAATCCATTATAGGTAAGTAGGTGCCTATATGTGTATATTAGTTAGGTACCCAAATGAACTCGCAATCCTAACTCGGATTTAATAGTTAAGTATGTACTACCTCGGAGATAAATATGTATTATTACATATTAATTAATACGATAAAAAAATTAAAAATAACCTTTTTAATAATAAAATAGGTACTTACTTTTTCGTTTTCTAAATTCAAGCTTTCTGAGGAAGATTCGTTATATACATTTTCACTGTTTGTATAAATATTGTTTTCTTTTGCAGAATTTTTATCAATTACCGAAGATTTTCTATATCTACGTTTTATGAAAAAGTAAGTGACTTTCAACACTGAAAAATATATAGAAGGTAATAATTAATTAATATGGAAAATTTTCCAATTATTTTATTAATTCATTTTTCGACTATTTGATAAAAGTTGGATACTTATCCTATAGGTATAATGTATTTGAAGCAATTGCTTCATGTCTGAAATGGGTTGGGGGGTTGGGTCTTGGGTGGACTGGTCCGGGTGGGTGTATAATCGTAAGACTTCAACACAAATGCCATGACAAAGATAATGATTAATAATTATTAATGACCCCTGTTGCTTATTTTGGTTCAATAAAGGGATGGCGGTAAATTATTTAGAATTGGTATACAATATGCTTCAAAGCCTCGACGATTACTATAGTTGATATATGGTATGTTAATAAAAATAAACTATTAATTAATTAATAAACAACATTCAGCACATAATTGAACTGTACTATGCTGCTCGCAAATAAATATATTATACCTACGTCATATTCAAAAACAAAAAACTAGTTTTGCAGGATAATAGGTGTCGAATTGAAGTTAAAATTGAGCAAGTCACTGACCACTGTAATGGATGTGTTAAGTTTGAACTCAATGGCAGATCATTATTTAGTAATATTTATGAAGAAAAACGATTCCGAACGGAGACGGTGTGTCAGCCAGGGGCGTATTTACGAATATCAAGTCACGGTAAGCACTTGCCGGCGGCGGCATTATTTAAACGGCGGCAAATCGTGTATTTTTCTATTTAATAAACCTTCAATTCTAATATCGTATTGCGGTTGTTCAGTCGATAGTTTTTTTTATTAAATAAGTTTTCATAGTATTGTTAATTATCAATAATTATTACGTCGGTGGACGACCGACGGTTGATTCTGATAATTATAAATATCGTCGAGCGTAGGTTCGCGGTGGTTTAACCAGCAACACTAACGTATAATATGCTGGTATTTAATATTATATTTACACTATTTACCATAATTTGTAGGCCATACGCAATGAGATTATTATTGGAAAAATGTACTATTTTATAAATTGTGTATATTCGGTAATTGATTATATCAAAACCTGGCTAGGCGCCTGCTGCCTAGGTTTATCAAACTGTACAACTGAACATTTCTTTTCATGTCGAAAACGAATTTATCGGTACATGAGAATGACGAGATCTACTTTAAGTAAAGGAAAATTGAGTAACCAGTTCATATCATGCATGGAAAAAGATTTAATTAGAGGACATATTTTGTTATTTCCGTCTTACAAGTACTATACGTTATACGAGTAAATTTACGCTCAGTAGATCACGTTTAACTTGGTTAGTTTACAAATTAAAGTGAATCGATGATCTGTTATGAAACTTGTTACCAAGATCATTATCTGTATTGGTAAGCTAGTTTTTTACATGAAGATCCAGTTTTAAAGTGAGTATGAGCATTATTTACTCTGTATTCATCACGCACAACTTGCTAAAAATTAAAGTATCGTGAAAACCCCATTTACAAATACAGATAATGTTCTTTCCACCAAGTCTTATAACAGGTCTATTTATTTAATTTTTAAACTATCAAAGCTAAACGTGATCTGCTGAGGGTAAATTTGCCATGTACGCACTACGCACGTCTTGTAAGACGGAGACCACTAATGTGTGTGTATGTCTCTTGGATTTAGATGATGTAATACATTAATTTGTTAAGAATAAAGTAGAAAAAAATAATTTTAAGTTTTTGAATATTTCAAGAGTTAACAAACATTTAATTATTCATTTTTAACAGATTAACACTTTCCATACTATCTAATGCATGTGATACTTTTAAATATAGGTACTTTTAGCAATTTAGTTTTGAATGTATTGAATTATTCGGATTAATAACCTATTGTGTAGGTGAACACTTTCAAGTTTATTTATACAGCCATAAACAGATAGGTAAGTCATAAATTCATATTTATTTATTATGGCAAAATAGTAGTTCATAATTACAGGGACGTACCCGAGGGTGAGGTCCTGGAGTCAAGATTTTCATTCGTTGAATCAAAATGGTTATTATCTTTAATGACATTATTGAATTATTATTGAATATATCATAACATTTGATTTTATACGTTTTACATGTTAAAACAATTTAGACCCTCTCTTTAAAAAGTTCCCGGTAAGGCATTACATAATTAAAAAAAAGTGATTGGGTACTTTTAAGTTCAACAATTAAAAATTAAGGTATATAATGATTTACTGTAAATTGTATACATACATTTTGCTTTCAAAAGAATTTAGGAAAATCATTCATATAAATTCCCACTTGCCCGGTATTTTGCTTACATTTTATAATTTTTGACTTTTAAAGTGTGTCTACAGTAAATGCTCCTGTTATCACTTGTGAGAAAATATTTTAAAGGATATTTTATGATACATTTAAATTGTTATTATAATAGTAATTTTCTTCCACAATACAGTAGGTTAATTAATATCAGATAATATCAGATCATATCTTATAATATATTAAAATGTTTAGTTAAAATAGGTGTGACGTAGTCTATTGTGAATAGGTTCGTCGTTCGTGGTATAAATATCTCAATAGGCATTATTCTCAATGGTTTAATTTTTAAATAAAAATGTAATGTATACTTCCGATAATAAAAAAATATTTTATCTTAACGATATTTAATATTGTGCTCGAAAATTAAATAATAGCATACAATATTAATATAATATAAATAATAATAAAGTATATACCGACAATCCTACAACAAGAATTAACATTTAGGTAGAATTATTCGCGAAACGACCGGGTAATAATAAACTGTGTTAGCTTTCGATAAAACATAATATTATAATATATTAAATTATATTATAATGTACGTAAAAAAACTAAAAAAAAAAAAATAATTAGGTCTGTATAAAAATGTATGCTTACTCCACAAAGCTAGAAGCCCAGACGCTATTTGATACAAATAACCGTACCAGATCATCCTAACAACTTCAACTTTCCAGTTCACTTCCGTGCCGAATTTCACGAAGAGTCAAAATGAATGTTTTAACACGAACACTTAATCGTCAACGGTAACGATGGCGAAAGAATATCGGGCCACGGACCTGCACAAATATGCATTGATGCATTGGTGAGTGCCGAGTGGTGACAGATTTGTATGATCCGCAAGGAGTTTCGAACCACCGATGACCGCAAAGGACGTTGTAGACACGTCTAGACCACAATCATCCGGACATCGTACGGAATACCATTCACGAAATGAAGCACTGATGGCGACCAATATTGGCGATTATACTATACGCACGATCATAATAATATTGTAGTACGATGAATGAGAAAAGTGTGATCAACACTGAACGCGTTTCGTCCTAGTTCGCGCATGTGCGTCGCCTTGTGTTTTTGTGCCGGTGTGCATCGAGTAAGATTAATAATAATATTAATGTATGCGACGTGTGACGACGTCGCCTTGTGTTGTTTGTTGTTGGTTGCCTATATAAATTATGCATTGCCCCTTAAAAAAATACGAGCAGTCTTATCGTCGAGCATACTTTTTACTCCTCATGCTATGGGCACGATAACGGTCTTGTTTACAAGTCGACCACACAGACTTCTAAAGAAGTGTAGACTTCCGTGATAGAAGTCTGTGGTCGACCGGGGGCACGATTTGGCATGCAGATAAATCGACGTCGTGCTCATCATACAGGCTTTGTTTTGACTGGATCACAGCTGGCGGTGTATTCAAAATATTTATTTATTCGACACTTTCTGTATTTTGGCTGTACATCGTATGTTATCAAGGCCGTATCTGGGGGGGAGATCAACCCCCCCCCCCCCGAAATTAATTTCCAGTTACGGCCTTGTATGTTATACCCACCTACCACGCTTTTAAATAAAATTAATAGTTTCTTTAATTTGTATACTATAATTGAATAATCGTTTTGAATATTATCATCAGCATAGACATGTTTTTGAGCTGGATACGATTTTTTCTAACCGATTTTACGTAATTGCAAATCTACGATAAAAACATATTTTTCCACTGCACTGCACCCAACACATATCTATTATTAATCAATTTTTCTTGCAGAGGAAAAATATCTAGTAGCATGCTACATTTTGTACTAAAGCGTGTGGAATAAACTGAATAATATTGCGTATTTTTATTTATCACTAGCTAACCCCGTACACTCTGCCATTCTTAAAAATACCAACTCTTCCACGATTCAAATTTTGTTCAATGTGTTATTTAATATTTAGTGTAATGGCGTTAAAAACTTTTAAGAATATAGACAAAAAGAAAAGATTTAATTTAAAATCGATGGATATAATACAATTGCACCTAATATATCAATTTTAGCATTACACTCGGACCTACATTCCAACTGAAAAAATGTTATATCCATTATTTTGAATCAGAATTCAAAACTTAAGACTAGAGATGTAATTTTTAAGTTTAATCAGCCATGTACTAATATCTGCTACTTATCCTATGGAAAATATGACTATTTTAAAACCAAAGTGTCCTACATTGATGATTTAGGAGTATGGAGACAAATTAACTGCTCGGTTAAACATTTTACTAATTAATAGTTTCTAGTGTCTAGTAATCTTTTTCTATATTTTTGCCAAGAACTTAACATTAGAAGAGAATATGATTTCATGTTACCCTAACAGAAAAGTTACTACGTAGTAGTAACAATTTAAAACGACAATATAATCTAAGATCAAAAAAAAAGTAGTCGATAAAATGAAAAATACTGTTAGTTCCTACCAAAAAAAAAAAAAAAAATAACGAATATTTGATACAATGCATAGCGCACATTCCAACAGCGTAACAAAGTTATTGGACACTAGCAACTTAAGCTACTTTATATTTCTACATACAGGCACGTATAGTTATTACGTTGTGCTGATTATACTTACTTCATACTAGTATAAGGTCATATTTTTAGTAGGTACCTAGTATTTTATTACGCCTCATAATGTATGATATGTTTTTAGAAATTATTTGTTAATTATTAAAGTAGTACTATAATTTATAGTTATTAGCAATGTTTTATGAACAATTTTTTGAATTTTTTTTAGATAGAAATCCAAGCAAGATAGTATTGTCCATTGGTCCTTTTTTTAAATGAAATAACAATGAAAAATAACCTCAAACAATGCATACAATTTCAACTGTCGTACGTTGCAGACAGTCGGGTCAATATAATTTTATAATACAAATAATACAATGTACCCATGTGATATTGGGTACCCGCCGTTTTTCCCGAATCGAAATTCCCGAATGAACTTTTTCCCGAATGTCGTTTTATCCGAAAATCCGAAAACCCGAAACCTTTTTTCCCGAACGACTTTTTCCCGACGGTTATTGTTCCCGAAATAAAAATTTTTAAAAATTTAAAAATGTTGTTATAACTGTGAGCTGTAATGACTAGGTATGTATTTTCTATACATTATAACTAAAATACAGCTGTTGCTATACATTCTAATCTTTTCTAATCTTTTCTAATCTTTTTTTTCTCCGTGCGATAAACGGGCACATGTAGAATCGCATGTTTGCAATTATTGCACTTTACCGTCGCTGATTTATATTTTACACCGATATTATTATTATTATTATCGTTTGTAGATTAGTAGAACTATTCAATCTATGGTATACAAGTAAAACGTAATCGTTGTAATCGTAAAGCCGCGTTATTCGAGTGCTATCGACCGTCGTTATACTTTCCAGTGCATTTTATTGTAAATAATATAAGATTATATACTTTTATTTTAATATAATATTTAATTTTCATTTTAATTTTATTTTAATCTATCACCATGGCTGAAATTAAAATTTTGGGTGAAACAAAATTAATTTGTGGAGGTTTTATTTATGTGCGTTCTAAATTACCAGTCAACGGTAAAACATACTGGGAATGTCAAAAGTTACGTAAAAAAGAGTGCAAAGCAAGAGTTATTACTGCGTTCAATATTTTTGAAAATAAAAATTATTTTGTACGAGAATCAACGTTGGACGATCACGACCATGTTCCCAACCAAGAAGAGTGTGAAGCAGAGATCATCAAATATTCTTTGAAGCGGAAAGCTGAGGACCAACCACAACTACCACCTGCTCAAATATTACGTACAGAGATGGCTGGCTTATCTGACGGGGTTCTCAGTCAACTACCTAACCGTGATAATTTAAAAAAATCAATGCGTAAAGTCCGGAGGTATTTATTTTTTTCAGATTTCCACGAATCCAATTTAATTTTTATGTATTTTACACATACCTAAGGAAAAATTTGCCGCCCAATCCAAAAACACTTAATGACTTTGGTACACTTCCCGATCGGTATCAAAAGACGCTTACGGGTGAACATTTTTTAATTTATGATTCACTTGATGATGATTCCGTCAATGAAGGTAGAGTCGTTGTGTTCTCGACTCGGAGAAATTTAGAATTATTGGCCCGGAGTGATTGCTGGTTTTTAGACGGGACTTTTAAGGTTTGATGGATTTTATTATATTTATTACTTTATTACCTAGGTATATGTCTATGATGTGTTAATCAGTGGTGTATTGGTACGGGTACGCCGGTATACGTCGTATACGTCGCGAGCGTCGCGGCGAACAACGGTGTCCGGGTGTCATGACGCGGCGTTTAACAAAAATGTCTCTTAAGATTTTTAATATTTGAAAAATTAAACGTTTTATTGAAATTCTGATACTTGCTATTCTTCATTTCTTAATATCTCTTAATTATCTCTTATTAATATCTCTTATTTATTTATCTATTGAAGTAGGCATTGAATGTAATTATATAACAATATGATTTTGTTTCATAATTCTTAGGTGTGTCCCACTATTTTCACACAAGTTTTCACGATTCTGGGAACATGCAAACAACACGATGCTCATGACACAGTTGCTATTCCATTTGTATATGCACTGTTGTCGTCAAAAGAAACGGTTCAGTATGCCACTGTGCTAAGAGCAGTACAATCTTCATTTAACGAACACAGGATTGTTTGTGAACCGGCTAAGATCATGACTGACTTTGAAAAATCTATAATCAACGCTTGTAAAAAAGTTTATCCAAATTGTCCTCTCAGTTGTTGCTTTTTTCATTTCGGTCAATCAATGTATCGACAAATTCAATCTGTTGGTCTTCAAGCCACATACAATGACCCTGATGATCGTTCATTAAAAATGTACAGTCATATGATGCTAGCGTTGGCATTCGTACCTTTGGCTGAAGTACCTCGCATTTTCTCGCTTTTGAAAAATGACGCGCCTGAAGATTTATTACCAATTTTGGAATATTTTGAAAAAAATTATGTTGTAGGAGTAATAGCTAGAGGGCGAAGACGAGGAATTCTTCCACGTTATCCGCCAGAAATTTGGAATCAGCACCAAGCCGCTCTAACTGGTTCACACAAAACCAACAATGTAAGTGAGGGGTGGCACAATCGCTTCCAGCTTGTTATTGGAAAACATCATCCAGATCTTTACTCCGCTCTCGGTGAGATCCAAAAAGAACAAGCTGATGCTGAGATAATGATCGCGGAGCTGAGTTTAGGACGAAAAGTTAGAGCACTACCAAAAAGAAAATGGCGGGATTTTCAAAAGCGAATAATGTCCATTACTGCTGAATTTAATACATACCAGCCGTTACAATTTCTGAGGGCAATCGCACATAATATTGTTTTGTAATTTTGTTTTTAACGATAACAGCATTTATTATGTTATTATACTTTTTAGTTTTTTTTAAATAAATTTTATTTTTATATGCATTATAATTTGTCGATTTTAAAATATTTAATGATAACGCCACAGCATTTATTATGTTATTATACTTTTTTCGGGTAAAAGGTGTTCGGTAAAAAAGGTTTCGGGTTTTCGGATTTTCGGATAAAATACCATTCGGGAAAAAGTCCATTCGGGAATTTTGATTCGGGAAAAATACCGGTAACCGTGATATTGTGATAGTATACCTAATAGTATATGTAGGAATAATATAATTTAGACTTTACCAACTAGGCATGTAATTTAGAATAGGTCAGACCAGCAAAACAATATGTGCTGAGACGAAACTAAAATTGTTTAAGATGTGTACATAGCCACACAGGTACTCGTAATTATATGATGCCACCACACATCTCACACATCTCGTTGTTGTGAAACTAGGCAAGAGCGTATAGGAAGTAGTTGCGACGGTGGAGGGAGAACCAGAGCGAGTTATGACTGTTAGCATTGGCTCAATGAATTATTGTTTTTGATTTTAGAGCCATCAATAGTGTTTCCGACCACAAAAACTGTGCTAAGTTTGCAGTAGTTTGACATTCGACGTTTAAAGCC